GACGTACTGACCAGTTCGTCTTCCTACCTCTCACTGCAGTATCTGACTCTATTCTTCCTGTGTTACGGACGTATTGACCAGTTCATCTTCCTCTCCTCCAGCATGGTCTTAGTTAGCACCCCCAGCTATGAGGAAACTGGGGTGCAGAGAGGTCAAAAGGCGAGCTCTATGTTTGTCAGCTGGTATATGGTAGAGTCAGTACTCAAATCCAAGACTTGCCGATCTTAAGACCCAGCTCTCTCTGCTGCTCCACTCTCCTGCCTTGAGAATGGAGAGCCATCTAGCTGGACTTCTTATTGCTCTGTTCCACCCCTGCATGAATGGATGAAGGCACTTTTCCCACCCCCACCTCTACCACCCACGTACCCGATTATTGCCCTGGACTGAACATTGCCACCTGCTTATCCAAACCTCTGTGGTCAGCACCTGCACCTGTTCTGGATACAGCTCCTCTTGACTACGCAACTCCTCCACCCTCCTCACAGGAATCAGCCCCAGGCTTTACCCTCTCTCGTTTGACTGAAAGATAAACAGCACGTGTGTCCGACTCAGCTATGACAGAATGTGTATGGTTTTTGCCTGTGTTTGGAGAAGAACCACTCATACAGTAAGTGTGTGAACTTGGCACCAATTGAATGGAGCCTGGGGCCCGAGGGCATCAATTATGCCATTTATTGTGACATTGTGTTCTTAATTAACACCTTCCAACAACAAAGATGAAAGACATTTGGGAGCCTGGCCTGTTTTATCTAAGATGTGCTTTATGTGTGAAACAAAAGGTTTTGGCTTAGAGTATATTTTGATTTGTCAGCTTATGAAAATAGTATGACTATACTAACAACCAGTTTGGAACTGTGTGGGTCAAAAATAGACTTTGCCTTCCTGTGTTGTCGAGGCAAATCCTTTTGGGGAAAAAGGAGAATGATAACTCTCTTCAGTGTGTTTACTCTGGAAGAAGCAGCATTTCTGACCAGTTGTGGACGTGTTTCACTGCTTATTGCTGGTTTGGGTGTGAGGAATGCCAATCCCACTTTTCAGATAGTCAGGCTGCACATCTGGATTTGTACTCATGAACCTGGAGGATGACAAGCTATTTTCCTCCATCAATTAGGCTACGTTGTTATTTCCTTCTGTTAAGGAAAAAAACAATCTTCAGCTTCAGAAGCAGTCAAAGAGTTTCTTTAGCCATTCCGCACCAGGAGGCTAAGATATGATCTCCCTGGAGAAGGCAGTCACTTCTCACTGAACGCTACTTCAAGCGGGCGGAGGCCAGCTTTGTGGTGAATTCTTTGCAATCTTGACCCGGACAGCGGCTGTCAGAAATCACCCAGGGAAATCTCTACACTGATTATCCTGCACACAACTTCACAAAGTATTAGCTCATTCAGATCAGCTGAATTATAATAGCGAGTGCTAGGTCGACGTGTTTCTGAGAAACCGGTTTGAAAGCAAGCCATGGACAGGAGTCCGTCATTTCTAAACGGTAGCTTTGCCATTAGCACTGTGATTTAGGGTCCTGCATTACTGTCAGAGTCAGATCGTTTTAAATAGACTTGAAGTATTTACATAGGCATAACTCAAAAAGGGTATTCACTTTTTGAAAATGGAAAACACATGGTCCAATCAGCAATTTCACCCTCCCGTCCAACCTATTAAAAACAACAGCAGCAGCAAAACCTTCCCCTTGGACCATCTTCATGTTGCATTATGTGCCCATTTCCACTTAGCTTCAGAAGGTTCTGGCAAGCCTTTCTCCCAACCTTGGCTGAAAGGAGGGCCAAGCGAAGGCTTCCAGGCCCGGGGGAGGGGAGAGACAGCGGTTCTTACCTGAGACTGCGCTTGCAGTGACAGCTGGAGCTCCTCATTGTCGGAGGGCGTCAGGCTGGTTTTCCTACAGGACACCTTGTAAAGTTCTTCCCTGCACTGTTGGGGCTTGCCCTTACAAATCAGGCCCAGGAGGCTGGGGCTCTTCGTCCCGCTCATAGCACACTCGTAAAAAGTCCCGTTGAGCAAAGCCACAGAGAGCCACATCACAGGAGCCACCAGCGCATTGAGAGTGATCTGGCCCAGGACGTAGAAGAAGCGGCAGCCGTGACCCCTGGGGAAGATTTTCCTGGGGTTCACACAGCAGCCGGTAAAGAGTCTCCAGGACCTGTTGTTCAGAAAGAACCCCAGGATCAGGAGCACCCAGGCGGGAGCAAAGAGGAAAGCGAGCCCATAGACGGTGTTCTCAGGGCTGCAGGGACACTTAAAAGCCACTAGTGAGAAGAGCCGCTCCCCGCCCAGGGTGAGCAGAGCCATGAAGCTGTAGCCTATCGCAGTTTTCTGGTTCAGGAAGAATTTAAAAAGTCCCTGGAAGGCATCCATGGTGTACAGTCCCGAAGAGGGAAAATCTTTGTTCTTCTTTTGGAGCACAGCCGCTGTGGCAGCAGCTAAGGGTGGAGCTAGCTCTTTCTTCATTGAAACAACAGTCCTCCTTCGCAGACAGAATTGAGCCAGATAAGGAAACAATGTCATCTACCAGGAATGACTGTTTCCCAACCACGTTGAGAGACTGCCTCCTACTGGCGGACGTTGGGCCCGGAGGCTGCTCCTTACTCACAGAGACAGCAGATGCAGAGGGCCCAGCATCCTTTTTGATGTTATTTCCATGCTGCTTGGAAAGAGAATCAGAAAGAAATTCTCACTCAGACAAACATCAGTGTTGGCATTTCCTCGCTGAAGCAAACAGCCTTAAGTGGAATGGATGGCAGCCAATTGACTGGGAGCCAAGAGGAATCTCCCAGCCTAGAGTTTCAGGATGTTTTTGCTTGGTGTTTCTTGCTCGCTTGCTACTCAATTTAAGGGTATGGAAGACAGGGATTTGTTCTGGATCCTCTGAAGCTATGTAGGGCCTGAAGTTTGAGCCGAAATTTAGGGTTTGAGCTTCTTGAGATTTATATGGAACTGTGTTAGGGAGGGTTTAAATTTTGAAGGAAAGACAAAAGGAGAAAGTTGCTTATAATTTCTTTCCTGGGCTATCACAGTAACCTTCCCATTGGTATCTTTGCTTCAGCTCTCAACCCTAAATCTGTTTCCACACTAATACTAAGGAAATCCCTTTTAAAAAAATCTAGTTCTGCATTAGTTTTAGAGATCCATGGGGTTCACCACTGCTCCTAGGATGGTAGATTTCACTCACCTTCCCTAAATTTCATTATGGAACCTCAAAATTCCCCATGCCTCTTTCGCAATGTCTTGTATACCCCCTCTCCATGTACTGGCAAACTCTCACTCAGTATTCAGGAATACGTTAGAAGTCCGTCCGCTATGAATAATACCCAGAATATAATCCCTAATAATACATTCTTAATTGTTTCCAAATGTATAAAATTGGACTTATTACACCGCTGCAGTTATTTAATATTTATAGCCACTCTTTGATGATGATCTCTTGTACTTGTTGTATGCCATCAGGTTAATTCTAACTCAGTGACTCTATAGGAGAGAGAAACAATGTCCCATAGGTTTTCTGAGGTCATCATCTTTGTAGAAGCAGAGCGCCATGCCACATCTTTGTCGCTTGGAACTAGCAGCCAATGTGGATGGCCAACCTCTTGGTTAGCAGTTGAATGCTTACCCGCTGCACCACCTGGGCTCTTTATGAATGTTTACACAACAGAAACTACATCTTATCATGGCCCTGTGCCTAATCATGGTGTCAAACACACAGTGGATGCTCATTTAAAATTTTCATTTTTCAGATAAAAACCGAACTCCCATTATATGCCAGGCACTGTGCTCAATAGGCTGGCCTCAATAAGTATCATTTGAATGAATGAATGATAAACCTTTTAGTACTTCTATAATTTGAAGTCGTTTCCATCTCTCTGGAACATTTCTCTGAATTCAAAAATTAAATTAGCTAAGATATTTAGAAGTTGACAAATTTTCATTTCTTAACTTCCAAGTCCAGGCGAGTGTGTTTGTGAGCAGAAATTGCCCTGGGCTAGTATGAAAGCAGCTACTTGGGAGGATGGACTTGGCCACATGCCATTTTAAGTTCTGAATCCTAGTTTTCTCATTTGTGAAACTAGGCTGGTTAATGGAAACCATCTGTATGATTTCTTCAATTTCTACATTTCAAACACAGTGAAATGCAGATTTTTTTAAAGGTTGCTTTTTCATGTATTTATGTGCCTCTCACCACTGCTCCTTGTCTCTTCACAGGGACGTGTCACCCTTCTGTACACAAATTCCACCCTCTCCCAAAACACCCATGGGCCTAATGTCCTTAAGCATTCTTTGCTGATTGTTACCTTCCTTTTGCAAATATATCCTGTGTCCCTTCTAGTAATTCAGGAACTTATACTTTACCAGGCTCAGTGTGCAAGTATGCTAGCATGTTTATGATTTACATGCTTATGATTTACATTGGCTTAATTTCCTACCCTCAGAAACTTAAAACCACTGCCATCAAGTCCGTTCTAAATCCTAGCAACCCTTAAGGTTCCCACGGCTGTAAGTTGTTACAAGACTCATCTTTTCCCAATAGAGGGGCTGGTGAGTTTGAATCCCTGATCTTGTAGTTAGCAGCCCAACACTTAATCCACAACATAACTAGAGCTCCTTCCTGCCCTCCCAGAGGACATTCAATTTTTTAAATCTGAAAATAATACCTTAGCCTTTGGTGTTTTATAAGCCAAATTATTTCCACTGGACACTACTTCCTTGGGATGTTCCCTCCAAATAGAAAAATTTATGATTTGCACAAGTCAACACATCAATAAATGTAATCCCAACCTCCTATCAACTCCACATGCTCAACCATTGGGCTGCACTACTGACAGGTTGGCCTATCATAGAGTCTTATTCTAGAATCTAGACCAAGTTTTTTAAATGTGTTTTCCTATTGTTGTTGTCTTTTTAAAATCTTCTTTTATCAGGTGGCTTTCAAGATGTACTTGGGAATTACACCAAGGGTGACCTGTAACAATTCCAGCAGAAATGAATTTTCCCTGATTCTCGAGAAGAATCCTCTGGTGGAGTTTGTGGAAGAGCTCCCTCCTGGACGCTCAGCTCTCTGCTACTGTAACTTACTCTGTGGGATTATCAGAGGTGCCCTGGAAATGGTAAACAACACGTTTCGTGGCGTCAGGTGCATGCATTCTCCCGAGTTGATAGGGGGTGTAACTGGTTCACACAGTCAGCTGCCGACCAGTGAATGTTGGTGGTTTGAGCGCCCCCAGAAACACTTGGACGAAAGGCCTGATGGTGTCCTTTTGGAAAAGCAGCCATTGAAAACCCTGTCCTGCTCCTCTGACACAGGCGGGGCCAGAACTGTCTCCACAGCAACCGCCTGCGTTTTCTTCTTTTTTTCAAGTTATCCATGGTGTAACAAATTACCACCGCCCCCACCCAAATGTACCAGCTTAGCACAACACACATTCGTTATCTCACAGTTTCTAAGGAATCTAGCAGCAGTGTAGCTGGGCGGTCCTACCTCAGAGTCAGTCCATGAGGTTTAAATCTCACTGTTGTCTCTGAAGACTTAACTGAGAGTGAGGCATCTGCTTCCGGGTCGGCCCTGCTTCCGGGTCGGCCCTGCTTCCGGGTCGGGCTGTCGGCAGTGAACCAGACACTCCAGCTCCTTGACTGAGGCCTCTGCGGAGAGCGACTCAAATGCCAGCTGACTGCCATGGGGGGACGGGGCAGAGACAGACAGGGGGTGGCGGGGGGAGAAGGGCAATCCAAGATGGACTCATTGTAGGCATAACTTAATCTCACAAGTGGCATGCCACCATTTCTGTGTGTGCTATTTTAAAGCAGCCCCATGAGTCTAAATGGATCATTGGACATTTTAATATCGGAAGGTGAGAACGATGGCAGGCTGTTTGGGGGCATGGCTTCCACACCGGGACTATTCTTTGTTTGATTTCTTCTTGGTTTTGTTTGAATGATGTGGTGCCAAGGGTGATCCAGTGGATGTTAAAGTAGAACTGAGTTCCATGGGATTTTCCAGAACTAAATTTTTTCAGAAGTAGATTGCTCCTCAGACCCCTTCTCTGAGGCACCTCACTTATTAGCATCTATAAAGCATTAGGCATCAAGGATGCCAGGTGAATGAGATACAGTTGCCTTGCTCCCCAATCCGCTGTCCAGTAGGGGAGGTAAAGGAGCAAAGGAAACAGCACAGAGTGAAGAAGAGTTATGGGAGGAACTGGGGGCAGAGGTTAGGGGGTTGCAAAAGACTTCCTGGAGAAACTCTGAGCCGATTTTTGAAGGATAAATAGAAGTCAGGTGAAAGCCTTAGGGGAAAGGGAACAGTAGAGATTGCAACTATTCTGGTAAAGATTTTTAAAAAACAAAACCTTTTTAATTCAAGGAACAAGGCCCTTAAATTAGTTCAGTAGATTGATATGCAGTTTGAGAGAGGGACTGTCTAGAGAAAGGACGCTTAAACTCTTCAGAACTCTATTTTTTTATTGTGTTTTTTTACAAGCTTTGGAATATAAATTTTTATATGAAAAACAACCAACAACCATTATAAGCCTCTCTCAATAGGAATGTTATATTTTGAAGTTTGTGTTTTAAGAAGGCCCTTCCTTTGTCAATGAAATGAAAGTTTGGAGGAGGGGAACAATGTTGGAGGGATTGAGAAAAGAAGTTAGGAAGTTAATGTTGACATCCTTAATTAAAACCAGAATAATGCCTAGACAATTGGAGTGCAGAAGAAATGACTGATTTGAGAAAGTTAAAATATATAACGTATACATCAGTTGACTGAAAGGGAATAGTTGGAGAGAAAGATTCAATAATGACAGGCCTCAGTCTGGTTGCACTATTACTCTTGAAAGAAAAGAACAGGAGGAATAAATTGGCAAGTCCAACACACATACAAGTAAGGATATCCCGGGATAAGTTCCTTTTTGGATCCATTGGGTTCACAGAGAGCTGTAGATTGGAGACTGTTAAGAACTGACCAAGCATTCTTAGGGGGAGTAAGAAAAAAAAAAACAACCCTAAGGAGCAATGAAATGTCACTGTTATAAATTAATCAGAAAATGCAAAGGCAGTAGACGATAATAGTAACTACAAGAGGAAAAAAATACTCATAAAGATGAGGGAGGAAAGGTTTTTAGGGAGAGGGAATGATTAATAAGCTCAAGTACAACAAAGAGGCTAAGTAAAAGCAGACCTAAAAAATATCCACACTATTTAGGAGCTGCCTTAATTATCTAGTGCAGCTAAAACAGAAAGGTCACCATGGCAGGCTTTGTTCTCTCACGTTTAAGAAGTTGGAAGTCCAAATTTAGGGCACTAGCTCCAGGGGAAGGGTGACAGTTTAAGATGAAGGGCCTTGTCTCACTTCAGCATCTGTGGGCCTGGCATTCTTAGGAAATTTCTGTGTGTCTTGGCGTCAATCAGCCCCTAATCTAGGAGGTCCCCAGCCAAGGACTCTAGGTCCCAAAAACCTCTGATCTATGCTCAAGGAACCCTGGGGCTCTATGGTCTAAATATTGGGCAGTTAACCCCAGGCTGTCTTTTCAAACCCATCAGCTGCTATGAGGGAGAAAAGTGAGGCTATCTACTCCCATAAAGAGTTAGTCTCAGAAACTTTAAGAAGCAGTTCTACTCTGTCCTATAGGGTCCCTGTGAGTTGAAATTAACTCAATGGCAGTGGGCATCTCTGCTCACTTGTATAATCTCTTTTATATCTTAAAAGAGATTGATTCAATATATAACTGATTCCTGTAGATTGTTTCCTTCCTCATTAACATAACTGCCATCAGTCCTGTCTCATTAACATTATAGAGATTAAGATTTATAACCCACTGTATAATTATATCAGACCACAAAATGGAAAATAATTCCATAATACTGAGAATCATGGCCTAGCAAAGTGGACAGATATGAGGGGGCTTCAAAAAGTTCAGGAAAAGGTGGAATAAACATGTGTTGGAAATTTTCCACATATTTTGAAGCCCTTCATATTTGGGGGAGACATAATTCAATTTATAACAGGAACCATATTCAGGGAGGGCCCTGGTAAGAACTGTTTAAGGAAAATGAAAGGGAAATATAATTCATCATCATCTAATGAGCCAAAAGAAGCTTAGGTAATAATCACAAAGATAAAAATCAGAGAGAATCATTTTTTCAGAAGTTTAATTATTAAGAATGGTGAGACTACCTAGAGGCCAAAGGTTAAATATATTAGAACTAACCAATAATTAGGGTTCTACATTATTTTCAAGTTTTTAATTAATGGAAGGCTACATTATTTTCAAGTTTTTAATTAATGGAGGGATATCATAAAACAAGCAATGCAAACTATTACTCACATAGGTCCTCCATATGCTACTTCAGCATTTTAAAAAATGTTCTCTACAATCAATGGGTATTAAACCAACGCAGACAAAGGAAGGGTCTGGGAGCTTATCTGAAAAGGTGTGCCTTAAAACCAAGTCAGGCGGCTGAGAAGGGAGCCCCCAGCTTCACTGGCTGACAGCTGACTAAGATGCCGAAAGGCTCATCGGCATCACCCTCTGTGGGGCCCCAACTATCAAAACAGCTTCAGTTTCATCTCCTTGCAGTTTGAAAGATCAATTCTCTGTTCAACCCGGATGCCCCTTTCCACGAACTGGTCTCTCCTGATAACATGCCCAAAGTACATAAGACAGAGCCTCACCATCCTCACCTGTAAAGAGCATTAGGGCTGTCTTTTTCTGAAACAGATTGTACTCACAATGTTCTTTGCCAGCACAAGAATCCAAACGTCGCAATTCTTCTGTGGTCTTCTTTATTTGTTGTTTTCCTTATTTGCTGTTTCACATGCATACGAGGCAACTGAGAATACCATGGCGTGGGTCAGGCACACCATAGTCCTCAAAGTAGCATCCTTACTCTTAAACAATTTAAAGAGGTCTTGTGCAGTGGATTTACCTAATCCAATACATAATTTGATTTCTTGACTACTGCTTCCATAAGCATTGATTGTGGATCCAAGCAAGATGCAATCTTTTATATCTTCCATCTTTTTTCCATTTATCATGATTTTTATCTATTGGCCCAGTTGTGAGGATTTTGGTCATCTTTACATGGACTTGTAATCCACATTGAAGGATGCAATCCTTGATCTTCTTCAGCACGTGCTTCAAATCCTCATTTTCAGAAGCAAGGCTGTGCCACCTACATATTGCAGGCTATTAAATCTTCCTCCAACCCTGATACCATATCCTCTTCATACAGTCTAGTTTTGCAAATTGTTTGTTCAGCATGCAGACTGAATAAGTATGGTGCGATGATACCACCTCGACACACGTATTTCCTGATGTGAAATCACAGAACACGTATTCCCTTGTTCTGTTCAAAACGCCACCTCTTGGCCACGTCCAGGTTTCACATGAACACAATGAAGAGTTCGGGAGTTCCCTTTCTTCTCCATGATGTCCACAGTTTGTTGTGAGCCACACAGTCGAGTACCTGCAGAGTGAATAAAACACAAGTGAACTTCTTTCTGGTATCTTCTGCGTTCAGGCCAGATCCACCTGATGCCAGCAATGATGTCCTTCATACCACATCTACTGAACCTGACTCGGATTTCTAGAAATTTCCTGTCAATGTACTGCTGCAACTCTGTTGAATTATCTTCAGCAACATTTTACTTGCATGTGCTATCAACGACATTATTAGATAGTTTCTGTATTTGGGGTCACCTTTCTTTGAAATGAGTACAAATGTGGACCTCTTCCAGTCAGCTGTCCAGGTAGCTGTCTTCCAAATCTCTTGGCACAGGTGTACTACGACTTCCAGTGCTTCTTCCACTTATTGAAACTTTCCCATTATTTCCCTTCATCTCCGGAGGTCTCGTCTTTTGCTGATGTTCTCAGTGCAGATCAGACTTCTTCCTTCAGTGCCACTGGTCTGCGGTCATATGCCAGCTCTTCAATCAGGGACTGTCAGCAGCGCCTTCTGGTACGGCAGCACTGGACTGTGCTTCCATTGTGGTTGGTTTGTGTTCTTTTAGGAATCTAGAAAACCTTTTACTGAGCAAAATGAGTCAATTGCAAAAGGACAAACATTATATGATGCCATTTACACAAAATGAGCAAATATACAGAAATCAAAGATTATTGGTAGCTGCCAGAAGTGAGAGAGAGGGGGTTAAGGGAAGGGAGAGGAGATTTTTGCTTTGGGAGTACTGATTGTACATTAGTGATATAGAGTCACTTGGAAAAGGGTAGTGACAAATACCTATAAAAAAGTTGCAAAATATGAAGATATAATCCGTCACTGAATTATATGTGTAGAAAAATTGTTGAATCATTGAAGGTTTTGTTCTCACAGTGAAAAATATAACAAAACCATTGGACCTGATTTTTACCTTTGTAACAAAATGTTACATGCCTTTTTAAAAAAAAAAAAGCATTCTATTAGGAATTAATATAGATATTATATCATTCAATAGTTCAATCATATCAAGCAGTATTATACAATTACTACCACAATCAGTTTCGAATCATTCTTTTCTTCCTGAACCCCTTGACATCAGCACCCTTTTACCCCCACACCCACCACTGTGCCTCCCACACATCCAGCACCCCCCATCAGAAACCCATATTCTACTTGCTGTCCATAGATGTCCATCATTCATGGGTTTCATACACTGAAAAACAGTCAAACACAAACACATTAAAAAAAATTCAAGCAGAGCACACCCAATGACAAAACATCTCTGAGATAAACCCTAATATGAACAAACAGAAAAATACAGAAACTGTTAAAAACCAAATCAGGCCCTACATGCATCAGAGACAGGATCAACTGGCATGGTTTTAACTGTTCAAGTCAGGTTTATAATTTTAACCTATTTTTTGATGCTTCCAACATTACCCAATATTTTGCAAATAAAATCTTTCAATATTAAAAATCAAGGCTTGAATTTTTTTTTCTTCAGTTCTTTCTGCTAGAGCAGTGGTTCTCAACCTTCCTAATGCCACAACCCTTTAATACAGTTCCTCATGTTGTGGTGACCCCCAACCATAAAATTATTTTCATTGCTACTTCATAACTGTCATTTGGCTACTGCTATAAATCAGGTAACCCCTGTGAAAGAGTCATTTGACCCCCAAAGGGGTCACGACCCACAGATCGAGAACCGCTGAGCTGGAGGTATACTAAACATGATCCTCATTTATTTTTGGCTTTCTAGCTTCAGGTTTTTGCATATTTCATAATAATACTTATATTCTCAAGCTTCCCTTTGAACTTCTCCATTTAACACTTTTCATTTCATCATTCTTCCATTTGTTTTAGCTATTCTACCATCAAGAGCAAGTTTCTGAAACTTCTGACACTCATTTTGATTTTTCTTCCTTTTCTGTATTTTTAGTGACCTTTTGTTATCTTTATGTATGTCATCCCACATGTCATCATGTCTTCTGTCATTAGTGTTCAATGCATCAATTCTTGCTTTGAGATGTTCTCAAAGTTCAGGAAGGATAGACTCAAGGTCGTCTTTTGGCTCCTGTAGACTTGCTTTAATTTTCTGCAGCTTGAAGGTCTGTTCCACAGTCAGCCCCGGCCTAGTTTTGGCTGCTGATATTGAGCTTCTCCATGGCCTCATCTCACTAATGTAGTCAGTTTAATTTCTGTGCGTTCATCTAGTGTGGCCCATCCATAGAGTCTCCATTTATGTTACGGAAGAAATATTTGCGATGAAAAAGCCATTGGTCTTGCAAATTCTGTCATATGATATTTTATCACCAAGGCCTTATTTCCCAACTGCTGTTCCTTCCTTTTGTTTCCAACTATTTTGCATTCCAGTAGCCAATAATTATCAAAATCTCTTGGCTACATATTTGATTAGCTTCAGACCAAAAAATTGGTAGAATTTTTCCATATGATCATCACTAGTTTTAGTGGTTCCTGCATAAATCTGAATAATCATTGTATTAACTACATTTCCTTATATGCACATCTTGAAATGTACTTTAAAAAATCATTTTATTGAGAGGAAATGCACTTTTTTGATGATGAATGCAATGCCATTCCTTTTTTAATGTGTCACTCCCAGAATAGTAAATCATATGATTGTCTGATTCAAAATAGCCAATACTAGTCTATTTCAGCTCACGAATGAATGCCGAGGATATCAATCTTTGTGCAGTCCACTTCATTTTTCATGACTTCCCATTTCCCTAGACTCCTATTTCATACATTTCACATTCTGATTCTTAATGCATGCTTGCAGCTATTTCTTCTTGTTTTGTCATGTCCCATTAGCCAAAGAAGGTCCCAAAGGCCCTACTTCATTCATGTCACATGGTTGAATCTAGTTTAAGAAGGCAGTTCTTCCTCAGTCCTGTTTTAAGAACCTTCCAGTCAGAGTGGCTCATCTTCTGGCACTATGTCTGACAGTGCTCTGATATTCACGAGGGTTTCGTGGCCAATCCTGAAGCAGTAGACAGCCTATTTCTTCCACATAGTCTGTTCTGTGTCTGGGAGCTCCTTTTAAACCTTGCCACTTTGGGTGACCCTGCTAGTATTTGAAATATCGGTGGCACAGCTTCCCAAATCAAAGGATCACACAAGGCACCACAGAATGACAAACTGACAGACAAGTGGTAGAATTTTCTACGAGATGCAGATAGTTTCATCTTCGAACTTGCTTTTACTAAAGAACCCTGAGGCTGGGCTAGACAGGTGCTTGGCTGTTAACCCAAAGTCTGGAAGTTTGAAACCACCAGCCACTCAAGGGGAAACACAATTGGCAGTCTGCCTCCATAAAATGTATAGTCTCGGAAAGTGTTTGTGGAAGTTTTAATCTGTCCTATAGGATCGCTATGAGTCAGGATCAACTTGGTGGCAATGAGCTTTGTTGGGCTATATATGATTTTGCTAATTACTTTCACTTATTTCTTCTTATTTACCTCAATGACTTAAAATAAATCTGAATGAATACTCTACTGAGAGTATTAGGTCAGCAATTCCATGCTCTCCTATGTGAGCAAATTGTAATGAATAAAGAAGTAAGCCCTAAGGCCTTACTGTGATCTGCAAACTGGGAAACGCTTTGCAAAACAAAAGAGGCCTAAGCATTAAATATTCAGGTCGATAATTTCAATCTTTAATTTTATATTCATCATTTATTTAGTTGATTTTTCCAAAGCTCTCAAAGCTGTAAGTGATTGCTAAATGTTGTTGGATAAATGATCATGTTATTTAGCTGAAGACAGAACGATTGATGGCAAATCAATTTGAGAAGAGCCATTTCAGGATCCACTTACCCTTCGAAGACCTACTTGGCCTTACAGTGATGTTGAGACGATCTTTGTGTTGGGAACTTGTGTTCTCCTTGCGATGGGACTGTAGTTTAGCCTTGTGCTGTGAGCAAAGCTTCCCAAAGGCCCAGACCTGTAAGTCTGCCCCAGAGCCACTCAACTTGAACCAGCTCCTCAAATTCCTCTATCTCTTCACAGTCATATCTTTGGGTTGACACACAGCCAGCCCATCTCCAGAGGACACAGTGAAAGGGACTTATTTCACAGAACTGGCTCTTATTTTTGCGAAATATAAAGAAAGTCAACTCTGTATGGAATGAAAACAACTGAAAATGCAGTCTTAAAAAATTTTAATTTAACCCACTGACATAAACGTGTTTTTTCTTTCTTCCCTAGGTTCATTTGGATGCTGATGTTACATTCTTGCAAGACAGACTGAAAGGAGACAGTGTGACAGAAATAGGAATAACATTTCTGAAAAAGCCAGAGGAGAAAAAATACAGGCGGAAAAAATGAAAAATAGTATGCAGACTACCACAGGGCGGCCTGCTGAGGAGTTAATATTAGCTGAATGTGCATAGTCGTAGAAATTTTGAACCGCATAGTAGCATGAGCTTTTGGGTATTTATAAATATTTAAAATGCCAAGCACTAGGATTTAAAGCTGTTTTTCCTTTGCTTACAAATTACACATATTTTCAATCTGTGCTCATAATATTTATACACAAGTAACTTCTTATAAGACGGTAAGCATGTTTCCCACACATACTACATAGTCCATCTTAAAGAATCTATTCATTCCATTTACTTCTAAGAACAGAAAACATACACGTGCACACGCTACCTATGCAACTGATGTATTTATCTCCTCTTACCAAACAGACACGTGAAATGAAGCAGTACAGAGTCCACTGCTCTGCAGACAGTTTCTAGATGCTGTGCAGTGCATCCTTTACCGTAACAGTGCCATTTGTAACACTTTTCTGTACATCGGAGAAATTACAGATGTGATTTTTCTCATGTCAGTTTGGTCTAGTTACTCTTGATTTTTGATTACCAAAGCAAGTTATTTTGATGAAAAATTTTTTAATATTTAGAAAATAGTATTCAATTCATTTAATTAACTTAGGCTTATTTTAGAGAGAATTTGCCAAATTTCTTTATGGCCAGGCTAGGAAATCTTTCAAAAAGGCTCAATAATGTTCTTTGAGAATACTTTCGTACTGCAGTACATCTGCGCTTAAGATTTTTTTTTTCTTTTTTTTAAAGTATTATTCTTTTTTTTGTTTGTTTTTTTTTGTTTTTTTTTTAAACATTTTATTAGGGGCTCATACAACTGTTATCCCAATCCATACACACATCAATTGTGTAAAGCATATTTGTAC